CGAGTGAGTGAGTGAGCGAGTGTGTGTGAGTGAGTGAGTGCGAGTGAGTGAGTGAGTGAGTGCGTGCGAGTGAGCGAGTGCGTGCATGAGTGAGTGAGTGAGCGAGAGAGTGCGTGCATGAGTGAGTGCGTGAGTGTGAGTGAGTGAATGCGAGCGAGCGAGTGCGTGAGTTAGTGAGTGAGTGCGCGAGCGAGCGTGCGTGCGTGTGTGTGTGTGAGTCACCCATGTGAAGTGTGGCTGATTTCAGTGCTGGTCAGAAGAGGTCCAGATAATAAAGCTGAGCTGGTTCTGCTGGATCATGGGCTGTACGAATACCTCAGTAAAAGGTGAGAACGTGAGGAATAAACACCGGCATCACTGTAATCTGCATGAAACAGACGGTGACCGCAGACTCTGTGTTTGTTTGTCAGTGACAGAGCGGCTCTGTGTCGGCTGTGGAGATCCATAATCCTGCGCGATGTAGCCGGCATGAAGACATATGCAGATCAGCTCGGGGTCAAAGGTAACAGCTTTTTCTCACATACACTACCAGTCAAAAGTTTTTGAACAGTGAGATTTCTAATGTTTTTTAAAGAAGTCTCTTCTGCTCACCAAGCCTGCATTTATTTGATCCAAAATACAATTTTACTATTTAAAATAACTGCTTTCTATGTTAATATATTGTAAAATGTAATTTATTCGTGTGATCCAAGCTGAATTTTCAGCATCATTACTCCAGTCATCAGTGTCACACGATCCTTCAGAAATCATAATAATATGCTGATTTGCTGTTCAATAAACAGTTTTTATTACTACTATCAATATTTAAAACAGTTGAGTAGATTTGTTTCAGGATTCTTTGATGAATAGAAAGATCCAAAGATCAGCATTTATCTGAAATAAAAAGCTGGGGGGGGGATGCTTTAAATTGATCAAAAGTGATGATAAAAACCATTTATAATGTTATAAGAGATTTCTATTTCAGATCAGAATATTAGACTAATTTTGGAAGACTCATGTGACACTGAAGACTGGAGAAATGATGCTGAAAATTCAGCTTTGATCATAGAAATAAATTACATTTTACAATATATTACAATAGAAAACAGTTTTTATAAATTGTAGTAATATTTCACAATTTTGTACTGTATTTTTGATCAAATAAATGCAGCCTTACAGAGCATAAGTCAAAAATATTTTAAAATGTTCCAAACATATGACCCCAAACATAATATAAATAAATCTTAATATAAATTAATATAACAATTTTATCAGTACATTTTTATGCATACAGCTATAAGGAGATGAAAATGTTATCATCTCATTGGTCCGTCCCAGAATACTTTCTCTTCAGTGAGATGCTGCTGCAGCGGCCGATCAACATGTGGGATCTGGGTCTGGGTAACATCCTGACGCGAGAGGAGACGTCCTACATGCGTGACATGGCCATGAACCGCTTTGATAAGATCATGCAGGTGCTGAAGTCCATGCCGCGGCCCATGCTGTTGGTCTTCAGGAACATCAACACCGTCCGCTGCATCAACATCACTCTGGGAGCTCCAGTCGACCGCTACTTCATCATGGCCAAGTGGTAGGAGACACGATTCCCCCTCACCGCTGATCCAGATATCTGTGGATTTATGTCTCCAATACAGCTGAATCGTCTTGAGTTTGAGTATTTGTTTGGATTCTCTTCATCATTTGAGTGAAGTGTGTGTGTGTGTGTGTGTGTTTCAGCGCTGTGCGGGGATGGGGCAGAGCTCAGGCCGACGACACCAGGATGCTGTCTAGACTGTCTGTCTTCCGCTGGGTCTGCTCCTTCTGGGAAAGCATCAAGTTTGAATTCGCTTTAAGGTGATAACGCTAATCAGATTCATTCCATTTTATTTCTTCCCAAATAATACGTTTTTCCATTTCAATTTTTCTGGATTTTGTTTTGATGTGTTGGTAGTCAACTTAATTGTCTAATTAATTAAAATCATAAACCTTATGCAGTTTAACAATTTATCAAATGTTTAACAGAAATTCAATTTTTAGGGCCCTATGTTTTCCATTTATTTTTTCCCCCAAACTTAGTGTTTTTTTTTGTTTTTTTTAATTCCATTTTAGTGGTTTAAAGGGATAGTTCACCCCAAAATGAAAATCCTCTCATCCTTTACTCAACCTCAAGTTGTTTCATAAGTTATTTTCTTTTGTTGAACACAAAATATATTAAAAAAAATAAAAAAGTTGATGGTCCCCATTTACTTCCATTGTATTTTTTGCCCAATACTATGGAAGCAGTTTGGTTTCCCATTTTCATCAAAATATCTTCTTTTGTGTTCCACAGAAAAAAAGAAAATTGAACAGGTTTGGAATAACACGAGGTTAAGTAAATGATGACGGAATTTTCATTTTTGGGTGAACTATCCCTTTAAATAATCAGAAACATGTCATCAGAATACATAAAACATTTAAATAATTTATTTACAATAATAGTGTATGGTTTATTTATTTTTTTACTTTGAAATTCTCTGTTGTCCGTTTTATTTTTTCTGGATTTATGATTTAATACACATTTATTATCAAAAAAATGGTGGTAATCAAACGAAGGCTTAAAACAGTAACAATTTAATGAATTCATTTATAAAATGTAAATAAAAACAACTCCTTGTATTTTTTTCACCAAAGTGCTGCACAACAAAGGTTTGCCGTTAAAATGAAAAAATAAAGTTTTAACATTTTCTTTATTATTGAGTTTGAGATTCTACAGTACAATAAATAGTACTATATATCTGTCAAAATTTCATTAAGTTAAACGGAGTGTTAATTTTTCCAGGTTTGAGGTTCCGTGTAACTGACGAGTTTATGGTGAATTCTGTGACATTCCACGTTATTACTGTAAATTCCATCTTTATGACTGCATTCTGGATTTCATGCTTATTTTCAGCATTGCAGAGATCATTGAACCCTGTGACGCTCATCTCAGCGGCAGATAAAACTAACATCACACATCAATCAAGCGTGCCATTTTAGCCCATTTGTACTGTTTGTGTAATATGCATGAGATGAACTCTCACATTGATTGTGTTCCTCCAGGTCAGAGATGGTGCTCATGAGTGTCACCCGCTCTCTGCTCAAGCTGCTGTCTTACTGCAGTCTCATCACGCTGGACCAGGACGTGTATCAGTATCTGAAATGAAGCATCTCGCACCTCATTATCATCGTCTCTCCTCTGAGCCTCTGGTTTTGCTCAAGATGCGTGTGGCTTTGCACTCAGTGCTGATTGTTCTTGTAAAGGGATAGTTCACCCAAAAATTAAAATTCTGTCATTAATTACTCACCCTCGTGTCGTTCCAAACCCATAAGACCTTCATCTTCAGAACACAAATTAAGATATTTTTGATGAAATCTGAGAGCTCTCTGACCCTGCATAGACAGCAAGGATCCTAACACAATCGAAGCTCAGAAACGTAGCAAGAGATCGTTAAAATAGTAAAATTTCGGTTGAACCACTGGTGTCACATAACGATCTCTTGCTACGTTTCTGAGCTTCGATCGTGTTAGTATTCTTGCTGTCTATGGGAGGGTCAGAAAGCTCTCAGAATGCATAAAAAATATCTTAATTTGTGTTCTGAAGATGAAGGTCTTACGGGTTTGGAACGACAAGAGGGTGAGTAATTAATGACAGAATTTTCATTTGTGGGTGAACTATCCCTTTAAAAGAACAATCAGCACTGAGTGTGAGTTCATTTTTGGGTGAACTAACCCTTTAACGACTTGCTGGTTTGAGCTTGAGCTTCCAGGAACCTCTCACACAACCGCTCTCTCACTGTTGCTTTTCTCTGAAATAAGCACTGGTGAGCTGCATTTCACTGAAAGCCGAGGACTTTTTAATTCAGCTTTTTATCAGTTATGATATTCCGGCATTTAAAAGACTCGTTTCATTCAAGAAGCTGAGCTACGTTCGTTTCTTCTGTAGGCCTCGGTTTGAAACACCAAAACGATTCATGGTTATATTTTCATGGTGGCAATAATAAAACAAATCAGTCTGAACAAAGTAAATAATTATGCTAAAAACATTTTACCTCGTGGGGTTTAGCAATTTCGGTGAATAATAGCAGTTCATATTGCAATGACAAAAACCTTTTTACTAATTATATTTAAAAATTTGGCCATTTTATATTGTATTTGTGGATTTTGGTGATTAATTGGTGATATGCAGTTGGAACAGAGCGGTTTTGCTGTCAAAAATTTATAGACTACTTTTTGTCAGATTGGATAAGTAATCTATAGTGCTATGTATTTTGAATATAAATCACTTATATTGCTGTTTCATTTGTTCATATCACCTGGAGTTTTCAAATCAGAACCAATCAAAAAATCAGCCTATTTTGAAAATGCATCTTATTGAGAATGATTCATCCATGTTTTTTTTTTGCTTTACCTCATTATTTAATCAAACTGTCAAAGCTTTATCTTTTGGTGCAGTATCAGACTTCTGTCTGGTGATGTATGCTGGATTTCTCCAATCATTTTGTCCACTTAAACTCATCCCACTACTATCATCTGTGAGCTTGTATTCATTGAGTCAGAATCATCTGTGATGGAAGTGAAGAATAACGACACTGAAAGCATTGGACTATCAGCATGTTTGTTCTGGATGTCAACATGCAATACATGTAAAAAAAAACAAAAAAAAAAACTTTTTTTTTTTTTTTTACAAAATATTCTAAGAAATGCATTTTTACTGCATTTCCTTCTTTCTGTCAACAAAAAAACAGTATGACAAATTTTAGTTTCTTTTTTTTCTATCAAAACATTGGAATATAAAACAGTGGGCAGAGGATCATGAGCTCTTCAGAAGTGAGCAGTTACTCTGTCGATCTCCAGAAGATCATCCAGGATCTGAAACAAACGGAAAAGCTCATAAAAAGGAAGGAAGATAATTATGAGCATTTCTAGTAGCACTTGAAGGCAGCAGGGTAATGCTTTTTTAAGGTGTCCTTGTTACATGTACTTACTATTATAATAACAATAAATTATGCATAATTACATGCAAGTAAACCTAAACCAAACCCTTACCTTATAGTAAGTACATGTAATATTAATTATTTACTTAGTACTTAAATGTATAATTACACTGTAAACTATGACATCTTAAAATAAAGTGTAACCGGCAGCAGTATTTGTAACTACAGTATGTAAGCAACGTTTTTTTTGTATTTTTTTGGGCCAGGATAATCTTAATGCTTTGGCTTCTTTTGGAACTGTTTTCATTGGCTTTTTCTTTTTCTGAAGCACATTAACTTATATTAAGTTCTTGTTTACTGAACTCTAAAAAAAGAAAAAGCAGGCACTAGGTTCCAGCAGTTTCAAGTACTGCTTAAATCAGGCTATTTGCAGATTTTTTTTTACCTTTTTGTAAGATTACACAAATAAAACTAGACAAAAAAAGTTTGTCAAGACTACAAGCCTACCAAATTAATACCATATGAGCAGGGTAGGGCAATGTCTATGGTAACATATTAAACTCTAAAATTACTGTGTTAAAAAAAAAGTTCAAATACAGGTTTTCACAAAAACATTTTATACAATTTCATAAAAATCTTAGTCTTTAAAAACTAATTTTAAGAAAAGGGAGGAATCAAAAGTATCAATTATATGAATTTAAACATATCTTACTGTCTTGATTCTTTAGATTTTTAGAAGGCATATTAGCTTCTTGTCGATCCACCGGTTCACATTTACAACGGTGTGTTTGCTGCATATGGGTTATTTTTCGCAATTTTAACTTATATTAAGTTCTTGTTTACTGAACTCTAAAAAAGGAAAAAGCAGGCACTAGGTTCCAGCACAGTTTCAAGTACTGCTTAAATCAGGCTATTTGCAGATTTTTTTTTACCTTTTTGTAAGATTACACAAATAAAACTAGACAAAAAAAGTTTGTCAAGACTACAAGCCTACCTAATTAATACCATATGAGCAGGGTAGGGCAATGTCTGTGGTAACATATTAAACTCTAAAATTACTGTGTTAAAAAAAAAGTTCAAATACAGGTTTTCACAAAAACATTTTATACAATTTCATAAAAATCTTAGTCTTTAAAAACTAATTTTAAGAAAAGGGAGGAATCAAAAGTATCAATTATATGAATTTAAACATATCTTACTGTCTTGATTCTTTAGATTTTTAGAAGGCATATTAGCTTCTTGTCGATCCACCGGTTCACATTTACAACGGTGTGTTTGCTGCATATGGGTTATTTTTCGCAATTTTGGCAATTCTCTGCCAGCAGGTGGCGCTTGTAAAACAGCAGAAATACAGCCGTTTCTCTGTGCTTTACACAAAGCAGAGCTGTGCTCATAAACGCTGCTTTATCAGTCATTATAGGAATGATGAAATTAAAATGCCATCGAAACTTTTCTGAAGACAGGCGGTTGGTTCCCTTCAGTGATACACTGATATAAAAACACCCACGCTGTGTTTTGACTGAATAAATATGAGCGCTGCAACTTTCAATTAAATCATTCTCGTCTTTCCGTCCCCATATTTAAAACCTCTTGAAATAATAATAGAGACTCAAATGTATCATTTAAGTCATTTAATTTGATTTAGCTTGATACAACTAAATCGAAGACTTTACGGACACACGGAAAACCTGTTAAATATATCAAATGATTATTCAATATATTTCCTGCATAATTTTATTTCCTCTGGCCTAGCGTGACAGTAAGTATCTTTAGTCCAGCACTCACAATGTCTGCGGTTGTGCCGATCTTCTTGGCCAGTTCGCTTCGCTCCATGGTGCTGAGGTACAGGTACTTGTTCAGCAGCTCTCCATCCAGGATGTTCTTCACCGCGTTCTGCAGCGTCCGCCGATCACAGTGCAGCATCCTGCAGCAGATGCTCACAGAGGCTACAAAGAACTGTAGAAATGTCCCATCTGGCCTGGAAGTATCATGAAAAAGTCTAAAATGGTAAGTTTCGGAAATATTTGGATTTCTGTGAAATGCTCATGTAAAATTTGCATGATAAGAGTCTCATTTGTACAATATTAACTCTGTAAAGCCTGACATGAAATCATAGAAAAATCGGAAATAGAACCGTTTTCTTTAGAGAAAAAAAAAGTGTTTTTGTCGAGTATCATTTTTGATGCATCAGGCTTTTCTGGCTCATATTGTAAGATATAGTGAGAATATGGAGCTCATACTAGAGTAGAACAAAAATGGCATTTATACAGCATAAAGTGCATATAAATATCAGTTGTCACTCTATATCTTCCAATAATGTCATAAGATTAAGTTTTATGATCGAAGCTCTGTAGTTCCAAAACACATAATACAATGCAATTCAATGATGATTGAGAGATGAACAAATAAACGTTTTATCGAAAGACCAATGATTATAAAAAACTAAAAAAAACTATGGATAATCAAATAAACCTAAGTTGCTTCAGTGCAGTAAGTATTCATCTTGAAATATTACTAACAATAAAAAACGTTATTCTTAGATATCCTTTATAAAATCAGGAAAGGTTTCCCCCGCAGAAACACACGTGAACCACAGGCGGAAGGTGAATGTATTTACAATGATAATAAAAGACCTTTTACTTGCAAAAAAGTATAAAGTATGAATTATCAATCAGACGACAATGCATGTAGTAGATTGTGTTCATCAGGTTTTTCAGCAAAGTTTTGTTCATGTTGGTAATTTAGAGGCTTTAGAAATGTGCGTATAAAAAATATGATACTGTAGGCCTTATGGGCTTAAGTAAATCTGTTCCAAAGAAAAAGACAATTCCAGAAATGCACAAATTCCCTGAGATAAAAATGCAAATCTACAACTACTCATGGAAATTCATTGGTCAAAAAGCGTTGAATATCAAAACAACAGAAACTGGGGTAATAAAATGACACAAGCTGAACCGTTGTAAGGTTTCTTTGGTTGATATCACAGGGCTCCAGACTAAAGATGGTGGCACCAGGAGCAGATTTGGTAGCGCTGTGGGGGTATTAAAATTAAAGATCATTTAATCATAAAATGACTTGTTTTGCATTAATAAGTGCAGTTACTAATAATATTACACGTTTATTTCTTGGTAATACACATTTGACAGTAAAGCACTGAGCTTGAGTTGGGAAGCATACCAAATGTACTTCTAATTAACAACAGTAATGTGCAAAATTTTTATATAGAAAATTAATATGGGCTATTTTACTATAGTATTTTATGTAACTGACCGATAACCAGTGATTATAAAAAAGAACACATTATGTGCGATTCAGTAACAAATTGAAGAAAATCTTATTTTTCAAGGCACTTTGTGACTTTTCTTACTTCATTCACAAATAAAACTGACAAAATTTGATTTCTTGATGATTTGATATTTTATAATAGTGATTTTATAATTTCAAAATATAAAGCAAAAAGTACAAATGAATGACTAATAAGCCAATAAGTGCTGCTCTGCTGCCATCTACTGGTTATAGTGGTAATCTTATGGATTTTTTTCTTCCTTTTTTTTCTTTAACACAAGTGTTTGTTAACCACAAAGTATATTTTGGTCATCCCATTAAAAATACTATTTAAATTGGATAATTTTTAGAGCTTTAAAGTTCTGGAAATAGTTGCGTGAAAGCTTGAAAGTCATTGAAACATGCTTGCATTTCTCTCTCAAAAGATTGTACAAACTGAAATGAATAATGTAATAACATTCGACTATTTCTGCCGCAACACCATAGTTATAGTTAGCCTTACTACTACTACTGGTTTTCTACATCAGCGCTGTTTGATCTGTTTATAACGGAGAATTCTGTGTAGAATTTAAATGCATCTCACTAGACCTCGCTAGTGTTGCGAGATCAACACTGGCTCCCGAGTAAATCTGTTCTAAACTCGGATCAGTTTACTTGCACTGCTCTGCGCTCAATTATTGGTCCGAGCTGATAAACGGTCCGCGCTGCGCAGCTCAAATGAGTAGCACGTTTTAGTCGCTTTTGTTTCATTTGCCGTTTGTGCTGTTTCTAGTATGCAGCGCTTATGAGTTGGACAACGCGGTGGTGGCAAAATCGAGTCGCACCGGCAGAAAAAATGGTGGCACTCTGGAGCCCTGCATCAGCAGGCAAGTCAGTACCTGAAGGCCTTTGGGTTAAGCCCCGCGTGATGCGGCAGCATGGTGGTGAGGGCGTTCTGCAGCATCAGCAGTCTGCGGTACGTCTTCTCCTGCATGGGCAGAAGCAGGCCGACGCCACCGTCCAGCGTAGCTGCACACACACAGACAATCAAACTGGGTTCACTAGTTCAGGAATAGAGAAATAATGCTGTTTCATGAACACCCATTAACCACTAGGGTGCAAAGGTGTTCAAAAGAGATACAGCTGAGGAGACCCACCGAACCATGTGATGTGCTTGTTGTCCCAGGTGAGTGCCTTCTTGCTGGCAGGGTCCAGAGTGCCACGGCACGGCATCCTCCAGAAGGCGTTCACATGCGCGCCCACGTTAAAATCGGCTCTCCGCAGCAAACGCATGCCTCCGAAACTCTCTTTGGCTGGAGGCGGTATAATAAAGGACATATGTTTGATATCAGACACTGGGAAAGAGCAAAGTCTCATGGTACTGCAGAAAGAATCAAATACATGACACACCTTCTGGCAGGTACATGTAGGCCGACAGGTTTTTGTCTCTGTCTGAAACTGAGAGAGGGTTTTAGAGGTCAAACCAGTGAGTTCAAAGCGTAAAAACTAATGATGAGACAGAATAAAAGAGTAATGGTGTGCACACCAAACGCAAAGCAAATATTTGCATCGCGTTACTCGCTCTAGTTTACTCGTGGAATGTTTTTTGCATCACTTGCGCAAAAAAAAAAAAAATAAATAAATTCTGATACAACCGGGCGTGTCAAATCGGACAGGTCAATAAACTCTTCGCTGATTGGCTTGTGCGACAATGCATCATGCGAATATTTGCATCACGTTACTCACTCTAGTTTACTCGCGGGGTGTTTTTTGCATTACTCGCACGAATAAAAACAATTAAAAAAAAAATTTCTGACAACTGGGCGTGTCAAACTAGGCGTGTCAATGAGCTCTTCGCTGATTGGTTTGTGCGACAACGCATCTTTTCATGCAAATTTTCCACTCAAATTCAAATTTTTGAACTTGCGTGGAAGACGCGATTGAGGTGTATATCGCACGTTCGCGACAATCACATCGCCCGGCGCAAATTTGCATCTATTCGCGTCTTTGCATTGACTTTGTATGTAATCTTCTCGCGTGAATAATTAAATTCGCTTTCTGTGTGAACACATAATAAGACATTTACCCAGGAAGCCCAGCTGGTTGTTGTCCACCATAAACTCTACGCTGTAAACCTCCCGGGGCCTTGCATCCTATGAAGAAACAAAAAGAGGAATGGAACAACTATATCCAAACTGAACGCATTTTGTGAAGCATGTATGCATTGTAACCTCAAGGTACGCTGGAACAATTTGTGAATCTAAAGTACTCAAATAATAAACAATATTAAACCATGTTAAATTTTGTACGTTAAGCACTCAAGCCAAACAAGAGGGAAAAGAAGATCAAGATTTGAAACCAGTCATAATTGACTATTGTGAAATGACAATCATTTCAGGAGACTGCAAATTGGCAGCAACACAAAATCAAAAATATATCCCTTTAAATCAACTGAATCATAAAGGATTGAGTGTCATTGGCTGATATTTGAGTGCAAACTCTTGGCAGATACCCTGCTGATGAGCGAGAGCGTCTTGCTCTCCTTCTGGTAGCGCAGCAGAGAGATGCTCATCATCACATCAGCGGCGAGGATGAAGTTCTTGATGCTGTGCATCTGATGGATGTAGAGCTGCGTGTCGATGAAGGCCATGCCGGACAGATCATTATCCTTCAGACTCCATAAGAAGATCTGCGCACACACACACTCACATTATACAGAATCAACAGAAAGGTCATTGTGTTTTAAGTGATGAAGCACATTCAAACGTGTGGCGTTTACCTTCTGTCCGATGGCAGACACCAGGTATCCACTGCAGTGACAGAGAGCCGTGACGGGCCCCTTCTGCTCCTTCTCATACAGCACTTTAAACTTGTTCTTGGTGAGGGGCTGACCGGGGTCTGGCACCACCTCAATCACGTCCAGAATCAGGATCTGTCACAGAGAAAACAAATCCAGATCAGACGTCTGATCAACAGAAACAGGTGCCGACATAAAAGAGACCAAAGTTAGGGCTGCACGATCTGGGAGAAAAATCCAATTGTGATTTTCCTGATAAAAACCGAGACGGACCTGAAATGTGATTTTCTAATTACAATAATAATATTAATAATTTAATAAGTTTAATTCTAATTTACTATTAAATAAGTAATATTATTATTATAAATAATAATTACTTTCAAAAAATAATGTATTGTTTTCATTAATAAATTAAAAGTATTGAATGAAATAAGAATTATATTTTATAATATAACGTATTGCCTTTGCTATATTTTATTGTACAATTTTTAAAAAAAGAAAGAAAGAAAAATACAAGTTTGCTGTGCTTATTTGTAGGGCTGCACAATTTAGCAATTATATTTCACAGGTAACATTATTATTAAAAATCATAATAATTATTTTTATTTCTAAATAAAAACATTAAGCAAAATAAGAAATATTACTATTGCAATATTTCACTCTAAAAACAAAAATGTATTCAAGAAAAAAAATATTTTTTACTTTACAGTACAACTGTAAAATTACAATAAGATTTCTGTCTGCCTTAATTTCTTATAATTTATCTTTTTTTTTTTATAGAAAACATGCAGAGAGACCTCAAATTTAAATTGCAGCCGTTGTTATTTGATAATCACACTAAGCCTTGTAGCAAATGCGGTTTTGTTTCAATTAATCAGGGCGTCCTAACTAAAAGCAGTCATGCATGTTGCAGTTTTAAACGTTGTACCTTACAAATGTTTTTAACCCATTTTGCGATTACATGCCCAGTCATATTGCTATTGCTCTCTTTAACTTTTAGTTGTAGAATAAATTGATCGTATGAATCAAATGCACCTGTAAATAGTATTTCTACAATGGCATCACATTGGTAACTAAATGCTACTGAGTGATGATCAAAAAGCTTATTTAATGGATGTATATTAATGTACTTCCACAGTTTCTGCACCGGTCATGAGTGTTGACAGGTGTGTGTAGGTGAAGACTCACTCTTCCTCTGCAGGTGACCTCCTCTCCCTGCATGAGGCACGTGCCCAGGGCCACGTATCCCTTCAGGCCTGACACAGTCTCCTGACTCTTCAGAGCCACCGTCTTCATACACGTCACATGCTCCCACTCCTCCAGATCAATGCTGACACAGACAGATCATCATCATTTACTCATGTCAGTGCCTGCTGTTCATCTTGAAGACATTTTTAAAGGGGTCATGACATGAACTACATTTCCCTTGATCTTTTGATACAGAAGAGGTGTTTGTATGCTTAATACATTCAGCAAGTTCCATCACTTAAAATGTCCTCATCATCAATAAAAAAGCATTTATGTAATAACCCTCAGAAAACAGCTCGTTTTGGATCAGAGGTGCAAGATGACGTTACCCGGGCGCAGCTGTTTGCATAAACGCCGCCTCCAGCGCAAGACATCGACGAATAGTCTTCTTCTCAACATACACTGTAAAAAAAATTCCGTAAAATTTACGGTAAAAAAACAGCAGCTGTGGTTGCCGGAATTTTACCGTAAAAACTACGGTAGGAGAGAGAGAGAGCGCGAAACGAACGAGTGTGACAGTTTCAACAGTTTAAAATCAGCCAAATTCCGTGAAAAAAAAGTGGATTTGGCAACCCTGCATCCAACAGAGTTGCATCCAAAGTGATTTAAATACTTCGCATATTGATAGCAGCTCCCCGATGCGCGGAAATTATATTCAATATTAGAATGTTTGCAAGAACACGCCAGAAATTCAGCGGGAGCGGGATTAGGAAAACAGTCCTGCGCAGGGCTTTAATACAAAAACGCACACAATAAATGGCGACTGTAGAAAGCAAAAGCCAAATCCCGGACATTTTGGGCGATTTAGCAATCCCAGCCAGATGCATTTTTTAGGTCCAAAAAGAGAAAAAAGTCAGGAGAAAAGAGGACGTATGGTCACCCTACGTAACCGAGACGTTCCCTATCACGTCAGTCACTTTGACGTTGTCGAATTACAGACACTAAGGGTCCTTATATTAAACACCACAACCACCGGAACTGTGTTACGAGATTCAGCGGTGCATGAACATTACAGAGAACCCTACTTAAAGGACCTGCTGCTTAAAACAGTTCGTTTTAGACAGAGGGTCAAAATGAGGGTTGAAAATAGGGCTGCACGATTAATCGCATGCGATATTTAACGCGCATCTTGCTTTTTAGCAACATCATATGACCCCTTTAAAGGTGTGGTATGTAAAATTGACCGCTAGTGGTTGTAACGGGTACTGCAGCACAAATTCAAAATACGCCCTCCTCAGACTCAACGCTCATGCGGGTTGCCAGATTGAGGATAGGCTTTACACTGTAAGTTGTTGAGTATATACAGTGCATTCAGAAAGTATTCAGACCCCCTTCACTTTTTTCAATTTTGTTATGTTGCAGCCTGATACTACAATTGTTTAAATTATTCTTCTTTTTTTCCTCATTAATCTACACTTAGTACCTGATAATGAGAAAGGGAAAACAGAATTTTTGAAATGTCTGTAAATTTATTTGTTAAATAAAGTTTATAAATAAAGTTTTTCAGTTAAACTGAAAAATCACATTTACCAAGTATTCAGACCCTTTGCAACAACACTTTTTTTTAATTAGAATTATGGAGGCCACTGTGCTCTTGGGAACCTTCATTGCAGCAGAATTTTTTTTTGTAGCTATATAAATATAAATGTAATGTGTCTGTCTGTGTGTGTGTGTTTGTGTGTGTGAGTGTGTGTGTTCAATTTTGTTATGTTGCAGCCTGATACTACAATTATTTAAATTCATTTTTTTTCTTATTAATCTACGCTCTGTACCTCATAATGACAAAGTCTGTAAATGTCTGTACATTTATTAAAAAAAAAAAAAACTGAAATATCACATTTACACAAGTATTCAGACCCGTTACTCAGTACTTAGTTGAAGCACCTTTGGCAGCAATTACAGCCTCGAGTCTTTCTGGGCATGACGCAACAAGCGTTGCACACCTGGATTGGGGGATTTTCTGCCATTCTTCTTTGCAAATCCTCTCAAGCTCGGTCAGGATGGATGGGGACCATCGGTGGACAGACAGTGTAGATTAATGAGAGAAAAAAAATGAATTTAAAATTGTAGTATCAGGTTGCAACATGACAAAATTGAAAAAAGTGAAGTGGGTCTGAATACTTTTTGAATCCACTGTATATTTGCGTTGTAATATTCTTCTGGTCATAGAGCAGTTTAGATGGATGCCGCCGTTTTTTAGGTCGGGTAGAATCTGCGATCTCTGACCGTTTTCGTTTGCTGGCTTCCAAGGCTGCAATATGCTGCATTTTCCGCCAACTGTCAACCCGGGGTGTTGAATTACTATTGGGTAAACTGGCAGTGGGCGGAGTCACACAGACCGAAACAAAAACAGACATTCCGACACAGAACACATTTCAAAGTAGAATAACTAGCTGTAGCATTGAAAGACGTGATTTTAATATCATCAGATAAATACATTTCAGTTTTCAAACCAAGTCACAGACAGACGTACCCCAGAGTATCCCGAGATGTCCTGGAAGTATCTGAATCTGGCCACTCGACCTTTGACCCCAGAGTCTCCTCTCCCTGACCATCAGGCTTCTTGTCCTTCCTCATTTTTGACTTCTTCTCTCTGAAGTTAATGTTATGAGGCATCTGACAGGAAGAAAACACAGCCACCACTCACCATCACTCAAACATCACTAGAGTAAACGTCCTGCGGAGAGTATTTAGTGTCAGTTTGTACCTTCTTGAAGCGCACTTTCAGGTTGCTCTGAGCCTGCAGCTGGTCGTAGGGAAAGGCCTCATAGATGAGAAGCTCTTGATCAACATGTTCCTGTTGACAAATACAGTCAAATACACAACATTAAACCTCTATTCGTCCAGAAGAGCAGGGAGGCTCCTGTGATTCACTCACCAGCAGGTAAGGACGGCTGTGGTTGTAGCCTAAAGACACGAGAGCAACTTCTTTGACCAATGGGATTTCTCCCTGCCTCATCACTTCCTCCTTTTTGAGCTTGCCTTGAGTAGCCAACTGGCTAGCAGAGCTGTCGACCAAAACACGCTGACCAACAGGGAAGTTTTTCACCAGGAAAACCAGGCGCCAGTCAGGAAGCTGGTAGATCTGATTTCATTTTTAATGAACAATAACATCAGATTATGTTTTACATACGCTCTACGGAAGCTTATGACATGAGCTGAATAACCAAACAGCCCCTAATGAATAAGATTAGTCACATAAATGATCTGTTGATAAGGCATGCATTCGTACTGAACAAATCTATATACTTCATAAAGGTAGTTCAGGGATAGTTTTGAATGAACTAAGGCTCTACAAAGGATGACAGGCTTCTAACTTTTGGGTAAATTATATAGGTTTTAGAATCATACAAAGGGAATTATAATTATTACATTAAAAATTACAGTACTTGGTAAAAGTTTAAAAATATTATGATTTTTAAATGTTTTAATGAAGTCTCACCGAGGCTGCATTTATGTGCTCAAAAATACAGTAAAAAGAGTAATATTGTGAAATTTTATTACAATTTAAAACAACCGTTTTCTATGTGAATATATTGTAAAATGTCATTTTTTTCCTGTGAAGCAAAGCTGAATTTTCAGCATCACTACTTCAGTCTTCAGTGTCACATGGTCCTTATTTAATACTGTAATATTATTGCACAATTTTAGTGTTTTTACTGTGTTTTTGATCAAATAAATGTAGCCTTGGCGAGCAGAAGAAACTTTATTAAAATGTTTAAAAATCATAATGTTGCCAAACATTTGACAAGTAGTGTATAAGTACAAATAAATACAAATATATATAAAAAAAACAAACATTTTAATACTTAATAGTAAGTTAGTAACATACATCCTTTCAACCACAAATGCACCCAAAATCCAAGCAGCTCTTTCAAGGAAATCTCAGTAAGTCAGTGTCTATGTTCGTCACCTCCATGACTCCGTTCTCTCTGACCAGCAGGCACCAGTGTGACGGCTCCTGTCTGCCCTCTCTTCCTGTCTGAGTGGAGTTCAGTGCTGCAGAGCTGCGGCTGGGCTCCTCTTTACTGGGGCTGCTCAGAGGGTTCGACTCCCCATACAGCATCTCCTCCTCATCATCCACCGCATTACTGAAGAAGAACAGTCATTATGAGAAAATGAGACGAGCTGCAAATAAGAGCATTTGAGTGTCATTACCTGATGTCCTGGATGATGGTCTCTGTATCTGACTGGGCTCTGATGGCAGTTTCCTCTTTGGCCAGGAAGCTGACCTTGTTCTCAGTTGTGAACATGCCACTGACGTCACGATAAGCGCATAACGTAATAATACGGGATTGCTGCAAAAACAAAACATTGAGAACACTTTAAAAGGTATTCAACAATAAAAACATACTGCATTTCAGGAAAGAGAATCTAATGAGAATCCCCACAAGAGAAAAATGGGATTTTCAAAAAACTCAGACCCAATAGGTTGATGTGTTTAATTTTCATGAAAATAATGCCACAATACAAAAAAAAAAAAAAGTCTTCTGTCCTAAAAATATGATTCATAGTCTTTACTTGCTTTAGATTTTGTGCTAAAATACAACCTAGATGTTTTTCATGAGATTCAGCAAAAAATAATACTACTGTTCAAAAAGTCAGTTAAGATTTTTTTCTTTTAAGAAATTAATATTTTAATTTTATTTTAAGCAAGGATGCTTTAAATTGATCAAGAGTGACAGTAAAAACATTTATAATGTTACAAAAGATTGATATTTAAAATAAATGCTGTTTTTTGAAGTTTGTATTCATCAAACACTGTTTCAACAAAAATATTCAGCAGCACAACTGATTTTAAACATTGATAATAATAATAAATGTTTTTTTGAGCAGAAAATCTGCATAATTTAAGGATTTCTGAAGGATCATGTGACACTGAAGACTGGAGTAATGCTGCTGAAAATTCAGCTTTGATCACAGCAATAAATTACATTTTAACATATATTCACATAGAAAACAGCTATTTTAAAGTGTAATATTTCATGATATTAATATTTTTATAAACAATAATAAAACAAATGCAGCCTTGGTGAGCATAAAAGACTGAGTAAGAAAAGAGTGATTTTCTTACTCAGTATTTTGTCGTTTTTCAGTAAAAAAATATCTAAAACAATTTACTTGAAATGCAAACTGACGCAAGTCATTATTTTTTTTTTTTTTCGAAATTAAGATAAAAATGTAATGAGTTTACACTTAAAACCAGAAAAAAAAAATCATCAGAGACTTCTTTCAAAAGCAAACGTTTGGCCAGTAATGTACATGAGGTCTGTATGGACTGACCGTGTGGATCTGTGGTTTCTGCAGTGCCAGGCGGTGGCTCTTCCCCATGTACGAGTCGCTCTTCAGCACAAACATGGTGACCACTCCCTCAGCTGTCATGATGATCATGTATGGATCGGCCACAGAGCAGTGCACTATGGAAGAGCCCAAGTCCACAGGGATAAAGTGGAGCTGCGTCACTGAGAGCAAGAAGAGAAGAGACCAGATGAGACACCAGATCCATCCATCATACAAACACACTGATTTGGGCCCCTCACCTCCCTCTAGCAGTCTGATGCCCATAGGAGACACCTGGATGATGTATTTATTGTCTCCGATGTTGCCCGCATACACAGTGGGACCCAAATCTCCTGACCCATCTGCAGGATCTAAACACACCACAAGAGCAATGAATCACTGGAAGAGTGAATGTGTCCTCAAAAATGTCATGACAATAAACTGCCTCAAAAAAAGCACTGTGACTGGTTGAAGAGTGGACAGTGAGCTCACATGAGAAAGCAGTAATGGGAATATCTAGCTGCCTGGAATGACATACTAGCATGCTGCTTACTATATAGTATATATATACTGCCTAGTAGACATGTGCCGGTATTCGGTAATGCGATATATCACGGTAATGAACATGCACGATACTGTTATCATGGGCACTTAAAAATACTGTGAATAATTATTTAGCCTAATACAAATCATTCCGATTTTTTGAATGCATTTTAAGAATACTTTTCCCATCAACTGGTCACAATGCACAACACCGCTGTATGCTGCGTCAAAGACACATAAGCATGACATCTGACAGCAGATGGCGCTGAACAGCAGAAATGCAGCTGTTACCCCGGAAACCCTGGAAACAAAGCAGCTGCGCTACTTTCTGAAACGTGTTTAAATGATTTAAACAGCCATTCTGATTTTTGTATTCGCTATGGTGTTCATCACAGCGCCAAATACTTAAATATTTAGACTTAATAGGCTATTTATTTTCATTACATTTTAATCTGTACTACATCATGCCCTAGATATTGTTTGAAAATATTCTGATTCTTTATTGTTTGGTCACACTTTACATTAAGCCTCCATTAGTTAACATTATTAATTAATTAGTTAACATAAACTGCCAATGAAAAATTCTTCTAAACAGTCATTAATCTTTTGCAATTTTAAAATTGAATAGCACGTTGTTAAAATCAAAAGTTGTAACGGTATTATTTAATGGACCTGAGCTAACATGAACTAACGGTTGTATTTTTTAACAAAGATTAATAACTTCTGCAGCAAATGTAGCTATTGCTCATTATTAATGTTAAAGGTGCCATAGAATGGAAAACTGTATTTACTTTGGCATAGTTGAATAATAACAGTTCTGTACATGGAAATGACATACTGTGAGCCTCAAACACCATTGTTTCCTCCTTCTTATGTAAATCTCGTGCATGCAAAAGACCACTGAAAAATAGGCGAATCAGAACATAACACCGACTGTGACGTTACAGTCGGGATCACTAATAGTTACGCCCCCAACATTTGCATATACCCGCCCATGCACGTGCGATCGCAAATCTCGAAAGTGAAAGTAAAACGATCATGCTTTCGAAAGCAGTTTCAATGCCCCGTATATTAATAGCGGCTCCCTGATTTCCGCATTTTATATACAGTATAATTACCCAACGATATAACTGTGAGAGATAGTATTGAAATATATATTTTCCCCGTGTTTCCTTCCTGCTGTGTGAGCTACTGAAATGAGCCGCACTGTGAAACAGCCAATCAGAGCAGAGCTCAACATTGAGCCACACTGAGCAGAGCTCAGCATTATTATTCATGATCCTTCCAAATAAGGTAAAAACTGACCATTTCATTCTAGGGACAAATCCTAGGGTTGTATATGGACATATAAAACCGTTTCTGCAGATTTTTTGCCCTTACCTAAGCCACATACCTTCTATGTAGATATCAGAGAACAATTTAAAATATTGTATCAATGCATTCTATGGCACCTTTAATGCATTAACTAAGGTTAACTAACGAGATCTTATTGTAAAGTGTTACCTATTGGTCTTTACAATTCTTTTGCACTTTAATCTGTGTGAAATTTTTTACTTTATACATTTTTTTGTGTATTGCTTTATTGTATTTAAATGTTCAGTTCTTTGAAAGTTATTAAACCTGTTATATGACAACCCTTTTTGCAACTAAATTTCAATATCGTGATAATACCGTATACGTGACAAAAGCATTAGCAATTAATCGCAACATGAAAATTTGATACCGTCATATGCCTACTGCCTAGTAGTATGTTATACATAATACAGCTTTTGATTACCATGGTGGAGTCCTCTCTGCTGAGGATGAGGAAGCCGTGTTTGTTCTTGTCATCCTCTACTGTGGGCTCGCGCTTCTCCTCCTCAGGACCCTCGCCATCGCCCTCTGGTGGAGACTACAGAGATTCAAAGTTAAGCAGAATTATGGGTTATTTATCTTTGCATTTATCTGCATTAAAAATAAAAGACTTTACAAAGATGACTGTAACATAAATCACCTTCTCAGGTTTCTCCTCGCAGTGTATGACTGTCCACATGTCTGATACTTTTCTATAGAACAGCCAAATAAATGCTTCATTACCACAAATTTAATATAATTTCAGTAACAATAGTTGACCTATATGGACTTTTCACCTGCCAGTGGCCAATATACATGTGAGACATATTATAAATATACATATATACACAAAGCCAATACTGCAAATAGCGATTTCCTTACTCAGTAATTTTGTCTTGCTTCCCAGTGAAAATATCTAAAAATTCCTAATCCTTTTTTTTTGGTTACATTTTATTTTAAGGTCCAGTTCTCACTATTAACTATGACTTCTGCCTCTATAAATTTTAATAGCCTCTATTACTGCTAATTAATAGCTAATAAGGTAGTTGTTAAGTTTATGGGGTTAAGGGATCTAAAATATGGTCATGCAGAATAAGGCATTAATATGTGCATTATAAGTACTAATAAACAGCCAATATGCTAGTAATATGCATGCTAATAAGCAAGTAGTTGCTAGTGAGAATTGGTCCTTATACTAAAGTGTTTTTTAGAAATGTATTAAAATTAAGTGAGTTTACATTTAAAACCAGAAAACAATAACTACAAACAGGGTAGGAAAAAAAAAACTGGATGAACTCAATTTAAAAGGAAAACAAAAGTTTTTTTCCCCTTTTAAATTGAGTTTATATATCTTACACCTCATATCTTAAGCTAATTGAGGAGAATACATACACAATGCAATTAAAGAAACATTTATTTGAAATCCACTAAAAACTAGAATAATTCATTATCCACTGAATGTGCTGTTGGTAGATACGAGAATTAGCACAATGGGAAGTTAATGCTTTTGTTGATCAGCCAAGCATCAAACACAATAACTGGGTAATGTTGATCATTTTGGAATGGCCAATTATTTGCATATTTAAATGATAAAACCAGTAGGATTCCTCACAACAGGGCAATACTAAGAACATGTAAAAAAAAAAAAAATATATATATTTTTTTTTAAAAACTACACCAAACTAAAGTAATACTTAAAATCACTTCACTCATGTTGAAACTGGCATGACTGACAAAAACCCAGTTTACATTTATTCACACCAGAAACATGTGCTGTTGTGATGCCATTCCTGACAGAAAGGAAACTGTGATCTGTGCCTGTAGAGCAAGCAGATTCATGTCATATTCACACCTGATATTATCATCGGTCTCATGTGATCCCATCAAAACTACTCAGATGAGACCGATCACCATTTTCATTCCTTATTACGTTAGAATAACGTCATTAAAACTACGCAACTGGAATTTTGTTTTAAACAAATTTAAAAAAAAAAATTCTTCTTTAAAGTTGTCACCTTTTCAAAATTCCAGCTTTTGAATATTAACTTAACTGACTTCACGAGGTGCATACAGGGATGTTTTCTGGAACTAATTCACAATTAAAATCAAACCACCTGAGACGCATGTCAACACCAGGTGTAAATAGAGCCTCGGGTTCATAATGAACACATAACACTAGCGTCATGCATCCTCTGAGTGAAATGCATGAGCAGCGTGTCTCTGCTGTATCTCGGGTGTTTTAAAGGCCTCTCCAACCATCTCTGAGGCAGCCCTGGTAAAGCCCAGACGTCACTGTAGCACCCGCAGCGGCCTGCAGCAGACGAGCCTCACCGCCGCAGAACCGCGAGCTGTGCACCTTTACTTCAAACAGACCCAGCTGCGATGCATGCGCAGACATGCAGGAATGCAATGCCTGTCCACAAGCACAGGAGGTACAGTGTCACAGATAATCATACCTGCAGTACAGAGAGCGCTCCGTTCTTGCCGAATCCCGAGCCCACCACCACCTCCAGATCCGGCTCTGGGTTAGTCTGAAACTGATGACGGAAGAACTGATAGTGCATCACAATTAATCAGAAACAAATAGTTTCACAAAACCAACTGTTAATGGAACTAATCATGTCTTTTCTTTTGTCATGCTGTATCTCAGGGTTACCAGAAAATACCTCACTATCTTAACTGCAAAAGAGAGCTGCAGAAATTATGTATTTTTTTTGGGGCCAAAACCCAGAAACAAGTTCGTATTTTAGCACTTCTGGCTCCATCGTTCTCAAGTCAATGGGTTTTTGAATGGGTTTGTTGTGAACACAAGCTCATGATATTTTCACATTTAATTCTACAACATAAAATACATCAGTAATACGTCCTTGTGATTTTTTTTTTTAAAGCTTTCACTTGTCTTGAAAAAGGTGGTTGATAACAAGTGTCTAAAGGTGACTTCAGAGGACTTTAAACATCCTCACACTGAACAGATAAACTCCTCTGATCATTAGTTACTTTCACAGCCTCATCCGGTTTATAATCACACTCTTGCAAATTATCCTGACTCAAACCTACAGGGAAAATGTTTTTAAATAACGACTGAAAGAGTTGTCAGGGAAAATATTTTTAAATAACGACTGAAAGAGTTGTCAGAAGCTCAGTGATGATGGCACTGAAGTCATGTGACCATGGTGTACTTCGTTTATAACCTATGTTTAGCTTTTTACTTCTGCTGATTGCTTTTAGGCTTCAGAATTCATACAAATTCTGTTAATTTGTGAAGATTATCATGATGAACGAAACATGTATGAATTACAAGCTCTTGTTGGTCACAGAGCTATTGGGTTTAGTACAGAGATGCAAACTTTTACGTTGGCCTACTAAAAAACTGTAGGGAAAGTAAGAGGTACCTCTTCAGACAGGAAGGCCGGTTCTCCCATGGAGGTGCTGACACAGGGTCCTATGTTCAGTATGCTGTCACAAACCTGGACATAAACATCAAATCTAGATTAATACATGTGTTTCATACAGGCAGCATCACTGGAAATGTACACCTGTGGTATTTTGTAAATGAAATATGCTACTGAGATCAGATTAGATAAGACCTCACCTCAAACGAGTATGTAGCCAGCTGAGTGCCTGACTGAGCCTCACTCCCGTACACCTCGATTTCATCAAGCTCGTCAGGCAGACTGGCCTTACCTGAACACAGCAACACGCACATATATACACAACACAACAGCACAGATATCTGAACCTCGTTCAACACTGCCATTAATAACACCACCTGCCCAGTTAGCCATGGCATCCACACGCTTCTTATTCGGAGGCTCTTCCTGGAAGATAGAGGCATTCGAGATGAGTAAGAAGCTTCAGATCCTTCTCACAAAAGATTTTATGAGCTTAAAAGAGACATTTAATGATATATTTCATCACTGGCTGGATCTCAGCTTTAGGAAAGATGGGCTAAAGTTTATATTTAATAAGATCACAGATCATTTCACTCTAATCTTAACTGTTTATGCAATACCGGCATTGTGCAAAAAGAGAATTGGACAAACTACTGCTGTAGCTTATATGCGTTCATTCCCTTCAGATAAAGAAGTGTGCTTAATTGTATAAAGTGCACACTTGTAGTGTACTTCAAACACTCCACAAAAGTATATAGATTTTTTACTATTAATGAAATAAAAGGTCACTTAAGTGCACTTAAAGAAAGTTCACTTTCATGAGTGTTTAACACACTTAAGTAGAGTTTTAAAAAGTGCACTTTGAAATAGAGTAAAATTAAACATTTTACTTTAACAGTGCATTTTAAATTATGTTTTCATACTCTTTTGTCATGCTTTAAATAAGTGCTCTTATTTTGATGTGTTGACTAACATACTAAAGCACATGAAAAGATTTCAAGACTTTTAACTGTGGTGTGATGTATTACATTTAAAGTGAACATTTAAATTGCATCTTTATCATTCCAGGTATGCAATTACAAAGATGTTTAAATACATGGCATAGAAATTTTAGTAGAAATGACATTAAAAGCATATTTAGTTTACCATACATGCTTGACAGTAAATTCAGGAGAACTTTAACCATAATTCAAAGACAACAGAATTATGAAATTACATATAAAGATGTGCAAGTACTACTTAAGTGGGTCAAAAAAGCACTTAAGTTCAGCTAAATAAATAAATACTATAATATGTCCATTTAAGTGAAATCTAATCCAATAACATGCAATGAACCGTCTGAAATTACAATAGTCTGTTCTTCTAAAGTATATTATTTCCACAATAAGTCTTTTTAAAAGTATGCTGAAGTGTACGCTTGAGGTATTCGGCTAATCACAATGCACTGGATAGCTGGCCAATCACAGCACACCTCGCTTTTTCAGACCGATGAGCTTTGTAAAAATCGGCGCGTTTCAGAAAGGCGGGGCATAGAGGAGCAACAATAATGTACAGTATGTGGAAATTAACTTTAAACCGCATAAACACATTTCATTACACCAAATACACAAAATAATGTTCTTTTTAGCAGCATCATATGACCCCTTTAATTATTATTTGGCTTAATGAACTCATTTCTGTGAAAACCTCAAATTCGACCAAAAATGACATTTTCACTTATTTTGCCTGTAGGCTCAAAATTAGACTGTGCGCATTCAGACTCATTTTGCCAGCACGGGTCACATTAATAAATTAGTTCAATTAAAGGGGTCATATGATGCGATTTCAATTTTTCCTTTCTCTTTGGATTGTTACAAGCTCTTGGTGCATAAAGAAGATCTGTAAAGTTGCAAAGACTAAAGTCTCAAATCCAAAGAGATATTCTTTATAAAAGTTAAGAGTCAGCCACACCTACCTAAAACGGCTCGTTCTAACACGCCCCAACATACCTACGTCGCTC